TTTTTTTTTTCTTTTTTGAAGAAAAAAAAAGTGATGTTCTCTTTCATTTCCTCATCTTTTTTTCATCTTTTCGTGGGAAAACTGTGCCTAACTGAAGTTTATGTGTAATTCAGGCTGAAGAAAGAGTAGGGTAAGTGGAAGAAAAACCGGATAAATGAAAGAGAGGGAGGGAGAGGGAGAAAAAAATGGAGTAGTGTTAATGATTAGTAGTTTTAGCTGAAAAAGTTAGAACTTCTGAAGAAACTATGAAGCTGATTTTGAATTTTCATCACATATTTCCATTTTCTTCCTCTGCCCCATTCCAACAGGCCCCCCTGTTCCCAACTTTGTATCACTTCATCCTCGTCTTGATTCATGTCCCCAGCCAGTTCTCAACCATTTCCTTTTCATCAGCAAACCATATAACAAGTCTAAATTTTACAGCTTTTTTATCTTAGACGAATTTTGAGTCATTTACTTTTTTTTTTCTTTTATAAATATGCCTCTGTCTTGTTCACATATGACAGTGGCAACAACAGCAGACACTGTCAACGAAAACAACCAACAACATTGCCATCATTTTTTCGCAGCCAGTTCAGGTTCATCCTTAACAAATTTCACGAGGGATATCCATTGATTCAAACAAAATCATACACAGTTTTAGCTGTTTTGAAAAGACCAAAAAAGATAATTTTAATTTTTGTTTTCTCCTTCTTTCCACTTTTTTATTTTTTTCCTACTTTTTGTTTCCCCACTGCTTTTTTTTTTAGTTGTTGTTCTGTTTTATATCTCTCTGTGTATGTTTTTTCTGCCAGGCTTTAGTAGATAGGTTTTCAAGGATTTTGAGTTAAAAATAAAAAAGTTGAAAGTAGTAGAACGAATAAATAAAAGTGCAAAAGATTTGTAAAAATTTTTCTAAAAACGAGCACTTAAACACTTATTGTCAAACAAAATTTTTTTTTTTTGTCGTTCAGAAATGTAGTAAAAAATAAATAAAATAAAGGTCAAGAAACAAGAAGAAAAATGAAAGTCAAATGTTAACGGTGTCAACTCAGATGAATAATTTAATAGATGGATCAGTAAAATTTCCTCTTCTCTTTTTCAAAAAACTTACTTTTTTTTTTTTTCAAATATTTCAGTTTTTTTTTAGTTGTTATTGCTTTTAATTTTTTACCTTCTGAATGCAAAATGCAACGCTTTGACAGTTTTGCAGCTGCAATTTTGTGCATAATACTTCTAAAAAAATTGCTAAGATTTTTTTTGCTATTACTGTAAAGTTTTCCTTTTTTTTTCTTGCCCAACTATAAAATATATTATATAATTTGATTTTCAGTTATTAGTTATTTGCTTAATCCAGTGTTATATGGATGCTGCTGCTCTTTTTACTGCTAATATTAGCGTGAGATACTGTGAATCAGTGCCCCCCTCCCCTCCCACCCCTTACTAAACTGCTGTTCGAAAGTTGAAATCAACGATTTGCCAAAATGACGTGTGGTCCTTATCCATCATTTTATTTATCCATCTGTCTATCTACTTGCAATACATTGGCCATCATCATCCACAAAAATCATCTATTCGTCTGGTTCAAATATTTATTTATACCCTTACCAAAGAATAAGAAAAAACTAGCCAACCAACCAACCAACAAGCAAACAGTTCAAGGTGGCTTAGATAAGCCCAATAAATCTGAAAAAAAAAAGGAAAGCAAACACAAGTGAAGAGGAAAGAAATAAAGAAAAACAATTACGAAAATTTTTGTTTATAAAAAGACGAAAAAAAAAGCCAAAAAGTCGCTAAAATTGTTGAAATAAAAGAAAATGAAAATGTTTAGAAAAAAAAATTTTTTTTTTTTGGATTGTTACGAAGGATCATAACAACGGTTCACTGAATTGTAAAGTTTAGTAAGCGAAAGACGAAAAGCAAATTTATTGATACTTAGACCTATCATGTCATCAGATATAATCACCGTATCTGAGTATATGAAGTCAATCGCAAAAAAAAAAAAATCTACAAATCTATTTGTTGACAAATTGAATAAAAAATAAAAGCAATTAGTTTTTTTTTTTAAGGATAAAATTCGTAAAATTTATAAAATCTTAACAAAGAAAAAAAATGAGAACATATTTATATGGGTGTATTGTTTGTGAAATTTTACATTATTCAGTTACTGCGAAAGAAAAAAAACAAAGCTTATTGTTCTGGTTTAGCTATAGAACTTCAATTTTATTGCTCTAAAAGCAGCTTTATATTAGAAAATATACCTGTATAAATAGTTGTTGCTTGGATAGTTGAATAGAGTAAATGAATAGATGAACAGATATATAGATAGATAGCTTAATATATGAATGAGTAGACAGTTGGACAGATTAGTAGTTACATTGATACTGAACAGCAGATCTGTGAGCAACAGCATTATATTTGAAAATACTGTCAATAAGTGTTCGACATATCGTATCACTTGCTTCAAACTATTTAAGCACCTTCTAGGCTAAATTTTTAGTGCTAAAAATTACCGGTAACATTCCTTTAATTAGTTTCTTGCAATCAGCAAAGTAAACAACAATAAACTAATTAGTTCGACTTTTTGAGGTGTTAAATTTTAGATT